GCCATGGGGTCTTGGCAGTGTTGGCTGCGATTTGGTGGGCTGTTGCTCCGGGGTGGTGGCGGGGCCTGTGTCCCACTTGGGGGAAGCTGAGTGTTGCTTTGTGGACATCAGGTCCACGGTGCGGTTTCTCTGTAAATGGCCAGTGTGTGTCACTGCAGTTCCTGTGTTGAGCGTCTGCCCCCTGGTGGTCAGTGCGCATCATAGTGACTGGTCAGATGTTCAGACACTTAGCATATTAGCCTTTTATATATATAGATATGTATCTGTCTATCTCTTTGGTGAAGTAGGAGGGATGTTCATCCTCCAACAAGGGAGGGTCATTAAAAGTTTGAGGGGAGAAAGTTTGTAGAAACTTACAGTGGTCAGAAAGAGTGAGCTGACAAGCACAGAGGTTCAGACAACTGAGCAGGGGAGAGGGCCCTGGTGAGGCTATGGATTCTAGGTGCAGAGGGTACTATTGATCTGTCTGTAATTTTCTCAAGCTGTGCTCAGCTGCCCTGGAGCAGAAATAGAGAAGATGGGTGATGGGGAACATTAAGGTCTAGGATTATGCCTATAAGTGATTACTATGAATCTCTTCATGTAGTTTTTAAACACACATCATGTATAGCTGCTATCCAAATTAAATAAATCCTCTTTCAAATGTTATGCTACCCATTCCCCCCTCCCTTTGATAATTGTTTTTAATGTCTCTGGCTCTTTTCCATATTTCCCATTGTCTTTTAAAATGAGATAGGCCGCACAATACAGTGATTAAGACAGACTTCTGACACCAGTCTGCTAGGTACCAATCTTAGGCCTAGCATTACATCCTGTGTGAACTTCGGCAAATCACATAGCACCTCAGTGCCTCAGTTTTCTCATCTATAAAATAGGTGCAGAAATAGAGAAGATGGGTGATGGGGAACATTAAGGCCTAGGATTATGCCTATAAGTGATTGCTATGAATCTCTTCATGTAGTTTTTAAACATACATCATGTATAGCTGCTCTCCAAATTAAACAAATCATTTCTTTTAAATGTTATGCTACCCATTCCCCCTCTCTTTGATAATTGTTTTTAATGTCTCTGGCTCTTTTCCCTATTTCCCATTGTCTTTTAAAATGAGATAGGCCACACAATGCAGTGATTAAGACAGACTTCTGGCACCAGTCTGCTAGGTACCAATCTTATGCCTAGCATTACATCCTGTGTGAACTTCGGCAAATCGCATAGCACCTCAGTGCCTCAGTTTTCTCATCTGTAAAATAGGTGGAATAATCAAAATAGTATGCCCCTGCAGAGGGTTGCCTTGAGGATTAAATGAGCTAATGTATGTACTATGCTGAATATGACTTGTTGCTTTATTTTCATTCAAATGAAATATTTGAGCTGGGAGCAGAATGAGATATGAAGGATTACATTCTGGCTTTTTTTGTATTATGCCATATTTAACACATCCCAATATTTCACACTTTTCTTTCCCCTTTTCCCACAAAGACCCTAAAATCGTGTACTCAGCAAGAGGAAAGGCCCAAGTCTTAAATTTATTGGAGTCATTCTTCCTCTATCTTTTATTCAAGGCATTAATTTTTGTCTCTAAATATTTACAACTGGACCAGGTTGGTAGTTGGCCTTTATCTACATGTCTTTTGCTTCCAAATCCATCTCCTTTAATAACCATGTCTAAAAATGCTGCACCTCTTCTTCCCCACAGGTAAAATAAAGAGTCCTGATTATGGACAATTTTTATAAAGTACAAGGTCCTTAATTAAGTGGTTAAGCCTTCTTAAGGCAGGTACTATGATTTCCATCTTTTAGTAGCCTTTGTACTCAGAAGTTGCCCAATGTAAAGTAGGAAATAAAAACAGATTGATGATGATGATGATAGTACCACAACTTCTCATCCTTAGTTTCCCTTACCATCGACCTTTGTGAGGACCACAGAGGGCCGAGAAGGCAACATAGGGCTCTGAGCCCAGAAAGACTGTGCTTCCAATCCTAGGTCTATCACTGACTAGTTGTATAGCCTCGCATTAAACAAACAAACACATAGTACTCTAAGTCAGTGGTCGGCAAACTGCAGCTAGCGAGCCACATGCGGCTCTTTGGCCCTTGAGTGTGGCTCTTCCACAAAATACCACGTGCAGGCGCGCACATACAGTGCAATTGAAACCTGTGGCCCATGCAAAGAAGTCGGTTTTTGGCCTGGGCGAGTCTATTTTGAAGAAGTGGCCTTAGAAGAAGTGGGGGATGTTGGTTGGTCGGGCGACGGGAGACACGATGCAGGCAGGCCGCAGGATACGCAGCGCGGGGGAGGTGCGTGTGATTCATGCACAAGTTGAGTGAGCCAGTCAG